ATTAGAAGGTTGCCACTTGAAAACTAGTTGAGATCCGACCTTGAAATTCTAATACAATATTTTTGAAGGTATAAACTTTCGAAAAACGCAAAAACAATTCGATTTTTTTAAAGTTTCGCCCTTAATTCTCTGTGAAGTACGTAAAATCGAAGAGTCAAGTTGGACGAAAGATGGCGAAAGAACTTGGAACAAAATATCCAATAACACATATATAATTCATTAAATCAATAAATGTGTATTAAAATTTAAATACAGTGGCATCGTATAAAAATCGACACGAACTTTCCTTACGACCCAGTTACGATTTAAATAATTTAACATGATTATAATACAACTGGAGTACATCAAAAAATTGAATAAATCCATCTGTAACAGCGACCAGATTGTAACATAAAGAGCGAAGGGGCGAAATGGTAAGAAGGTCGAGACAGGGTGGCCTTCTTCGGGGGTAGTTAGGGAAGCAGGGTGGTCGAGCACATGACTGGGAAGCAGATAGTTGATAGTCGCGCGGAGGTCGACGCATGCTCCGAAACGTTTTTCCCCGGGGTGATACTCAGTCAGGCAAACGAACCGAGCCTGCAGCCGAGGCTGGCAGACGTTCGATCGTTACGGGGTGAATCAGTGGTGTACCGCGAGAGCACGACTCGGACATGCGTATCGATCGTTATCGTTCTCATTTGCGTATGCCAACTTTTTTCCGAAATAAGCTCGTTATCGTCGGCGACGACGTTGCAGCGTTTCGTCCGCGGGAGGACATCAAACATTGATCGTTGGCAGAAATTGGAAAGGGGTGACAGTGCGTAGGGGAAACGTCGACGAGGGAGAATTTTTTTTTTGAACCAAAATAGTATCTTTTTATTGAGAGGATAAAAGGAAAAGCGTGATATTAAGCGAACGATGGTGTAATGAAGATGAATTGAAGGAACTAATTGATTAATTGAAAACAGGTTTCAATTGTATAGACTAAACGGTGATTAATTAGAGATAGGAGTTAACACGTTACGACGATGATAGCTGACGGGCGTTTAGATGCATGCCGACGTTAGATAGTCTGGCCATCCTTTATAAAACGAATGCGCACCACCTGTAGCTCGATATCTATGCTCGAAAGGTCAATCCCCTTTTTACCGAGTTCATTTACGAATGTAAGTATCGCGACCATATTCTTCGTCATTGTCTCATTTCGTTTGAATTAGTTTTTTACATTGTACATTTATATTCCTTATTTATAAGAATTCACTCATTGTGTGCATATGCGAATCAACAGATGTTCGTATTTTAATAAATAATTAATTATAATAAATAATAAATATTGTAAAATATTGTGGATATTGTTGTCCTGTAGGAAGGAACCAAATCCTGGGAGCAAAAAACAAACAACTGTCGATTTTTCGTTCCATTGTCGAGTAAAACACGTTCCTGTTCGCACCTTATCTACTCGTGACTCGCATATGCAAACACTGTACAGATTTCACTTTCAAACACTAGTCAGACGAACCCGGCGGACCCTCGTGACCTTCGTTGTATGTCATTTAAAACAGTCGTCGCCTGTGCTTGGTTGCAGTAATTAAAATGGGAATGTTACTGAATTGGTTCGAAGTTGCTAATTAGTTCGGTCTGAGGAATCGGTCCAATTATGACGGATAAGGAGAATAACAGCTCGTGCAAATGGAGCATGGAGGAGCGGGAAAAAATGCTGACTACTGGCACTCTCGAGCAGAAGAAGGCGGCGTTCAAAGATGACGAAGAGCTGATGAGGGAGACGACCAAGTTCGTGGCTGAAGTTATAGAAACGGCTTCTACGGAGGCTTCCAAGAGGAAAGAATGTTCTGAGGTGATTAGTCTAAATTCATTTTTGTTTATCATATTGCACGTTGTATGCGGAAAGAATATAATAATAATAATAATAATAATAATAATAATAATA